TTATCCATGAATCCTACAAGGGAGCCAGAATGTGCACCCCAAGACACAGAGGAACTGAATGGCCAGTAGGGGTTATCGTCGATGGCAGCAGAGACTGGCAGGATTGCACCATGTCAACAAATAAGGGTCTAGTTGACATTTCCCATCCATTAATCCCCTGAACCTTCAACCAGAGAAGTTAGGCTCTGCAAAGATAAGGGGAAGGGAGGTCCCAGAACAACTCTATAGTCCCTTCATTTCTCCACTCACCAGTGCTGGAGTGGGAAGGAGACGAGTGAAAGAGCAGACCCCTCCCAAGTGTAGGTCCCTGGAGCCACCAGCCTGGCCATGCATAGGGGAGAGAGAAACTTTGGGATGAACATAAGATTGGGATTTGAAACTGAATGGATTTCTAAAAGCTAGTGGATATGGTCAAGATGGAATTAAAGAAACTGCTACAAAATGGTGAAGGAAGGTTTGACATAGAAGAGTTACCGGCAGTGGCTTCAGAAAACAAAGCCACACCACAGTCACCCCTTATCAGATTCAGACTGTTCACTATGTGCGTCCATAATCCACGACTTACGAGGTAGGGACAGGTGGATAGGTAGACAATTGATCTATTGTTTTTGTCAATTGATTTAACCCATTTCTCAATTTATTTATTAAAATGCTTTGATTAGAGAGTGTAGACCCAGGTGCATGATCAGATATGTTATTATAGTCTTTGAAAATTTATTGTCCAGAAATACAGGTCTTCTTCCTTCATTTTCCCTTCTTATGTGCTACACTCACACGCACACACATGCATAAGAAATACAGCTGCACCCATCAGTATGAACCACCCTGTTAAGAAGCAGGTTAAGAAGTCTGGACATAGCCAAGGAAGAGGCGCAGATGGGATTAATGTATGGGAGACACATGATGTGATGGGAAGACGGATGGTGCCTGTCCTATGGGTCTCTGGCAGATGGACGGTGCCCATCCCATGGGTCTCTGGCAGATGGATGGTACCCGTCCTATGGGTCTCTGGCAGACAGACGGTGCCCACTCTAGGGGTCTCTAGCAGCAATATGGGGTGGAATGGAGACCAGGTAGTCAAGTGTGCCAACAAGAGCAAACACAGTGCCCATGGTGACAGGGAAGGGCAAACGACCTAGAAAATGACTTAGGAGGCAGCCTAAGCACAATTTGAGACTAAATGGATGTGGGGATAGAGGAGGAGGGTACTAGGCGGGAGGTTGCCAGTGTCTGATCTTGGCAGACTATGCATCTGGATAGAGAGATGGTGACTTAGTCAGGAGAAACAGACTCGTGGAGTTTCTAGAAAGGGGGAGTTTCTGGCACCCACCACATATCTTGAAGGACCAAGGGTGTTGGATGTGTAAATTAATAATTAAATTCTAAGACCTCCACTGACTGAATGGAACGCTTGTGGCCAAGAGGACCCCAGAAAAACCTCGAAGCTGAGTTCCAGGCCATGATGGGATAGGATGTCAGACAGGCCTCATTATGCCCCTTCCCTTTTGCAATTTAGGCCCAACAACCGAACAGCATTAATGTTACAGGAAAGATCCTAAAACTGACAGAACAGACTCTTCGTGACTATAAGACACCAAATTATAAACAGAACCTAAGGCCATACCAGGCAAGGGTGAAGTCATGCACCCTGCCTTTAAAGAATAAACTATGTTCTAATCGCCAAGAGGTTTCCCTTTTTCTCCAGAAGTTAAACAAGCACTGGCCTCAAGGTGGGCAATATGAAAAAACTCTGAGGCCCCACCAGATGCTCACTAACTCACCCGCTGCTCCAGCAGCCATAACTGCAGCTTTGATTGGGCAAGAGAATGATTTCAGTAACTTTCTCCTAAATAGAAGACCACAGAGCATGGACTGCTGCTGGCTGCTTTACAGAGATTATGCACTTTTGTGCCTTTGTGTTCTGAAAAAGATCTTTTGACAAATAGGCCTAATTGCAATAGGTTTAGATGTTAAGTCTCCATCCCAGAGTGAACATGGATCATTTGTTCCATGCATGTTGGTTTAATACACATCCTTCATGACCACCTTCACAAATATTCATAGCTCCTCCTGTAACCTGTCCTAGATGTAGGTTTAGCCAACTCATTCGGCAAAACAAATCTCGTATCCCAATTCCTCCTCCTTCAAAGTGCCTACCTCTGTGCTTCAGCCAGAGGCCGTGCTTCCCAGCCGACAGGACAGCCACCTTGTAGGCTGCAACTCTAAAACAAGTGTATAGATTGTCTTTTTTTTGAGATGGAGTCTTGCTCTGTTGCCCAGGCTGGAGTGCAGTGGCAAGATCTCGGCTCACTGCAAGCTCCGTCTCTGGGGTTCACGCCATTCTCCTGCCTCAGCCTCCCGAGTAGCTGGGACTACAGGTGCCCACCACCACACCCGGCTAATTTTTCATATTTTTAGTAGAAATGGGGTTTCACCGTGTTAGTCAGGATGGTCTTGATCTCCTGACCTCGTGATCCGCCCGCCTTGGCCTCCCAAAGTGCTGGGATTACAGGCGTGAGGCACCGCGCCCGGCCAATTGTCTTGTGTTTTTTTTTTTAGTTAACAGATGTAATAGGCAAAGCCCAGGGGAGAGGCCTAGGTGAAACTCAGGGTGAGGGTGCCCTGAGCTGAAGGTGGGAGATGACATGGACCAGGAAAACAGCCAGGTTTCAGAGTGGTAAACTGTGAGCACCGGCAGAGGCCTGTGAGAGCTACTTCTCTCTCCATATTGTACAGCAGAGTTATTTTATATTCAAAGAGTACAGCCGGAGTGTTTCTGAATCATGGTGATAAAGGATTCCAGCTAGCCAGGCTTTCCTGAGAAGTTTTAGTCATTATCATCATTGTTTCTAGATGAGCTGAAGATAAGAGTAGGTTTGTGCTTGGGGTTGAAGAAGAGAAAAATTCTTAACAAAAAGAATTTCTGAAAAATGAAGAAAGTGATGCCATTTTTATTTTGATTCATTAAAAACAATATTTGGATAAATGACTTTTCAAATCATTGTCTTTAAACATTTGAGCAGGTGCAGAAAAGAATAAAACATCGCAATTTATGAAGGGCAAAACTTAAAAAATAAAGCCAAAGCCATGCATACATCCAAAAGCAGTGTTTGTTCTTGGGCTTCCCTAGTCATAGGCCAGTAGGAACGGCTGCCATACTCAGAAGGGCTTCAACGCAGCCCACCCCCTTGCATTTTCCATCAAAGGAGCAACTGTCCCTGCAAACACACCTCATAAGTCACAGTCCTCTGAATCATCTGCCTCTCTGCCAGCTCAATCACAGAAGCAAGCAGAAAGACTAGGGCACCACATTCCTCCAGGGGGCCACTAGAGACAGGCACAGTGCTTTTGGTGGAACCACAAGCTCAGGCACCACTTAGTCGGTTGCCCTGGGTCCCAGCCCCTCCACCAGTCTCTCTGTATGGAGGCCCCACCGTGCTGCCTGAAGCCAGGCCGCCTGCCATGGATTGAACTCCCAGCTGCCCCAGCAGACCTCCTGTGCCCCACTCTCCTGCCCTCACTACCTGTAACCCCTCTGCCTTCCTTGCCCCAACTCATTATCCTCTCTTTGAATGACACAGAATAATCAGTCTTAGCTGCAGCTATTATCTCAGTGTTGTATCTGACCATCCACTGTTTTTTGTGTTGGAAGTTAGAGAGCCACTTTGCATAAACCTGCAGCGTGATGGCTGTTTAGAGGAACATCAGTACCCTGGTCATCTGACCCTGCCTAACTCCTCTGGCCCCACCTGCCACCCCCATGCCCTCCCCTGCACACTGTGTGCACTCTGCTCCCTTGGCCTGGAATTCCTTCCTCCCACTTCTCCACTTTCTACCTCGGGGCAACCCTCTCTAGCAAGGTGGGGCCATGGACCCAGCCTGGGATGGATGCTCTCTCCTGTGTTCCTGCATAATATCTCTGCCTAATAATAAGTCACAAAATAAACAAATTGAGAGAACAGAATGGAAAGAGATGCCTCTGTGGGACTAATTATGGAAAACACAATGACTCTCTGCCAGTGCTGGAATAACGGTAGATAAACAAGACAGGCACCCTCAGTGAAGCAAATTAGGTCCCCCACTACACCCCTGTGGAGCTGAAGGAGAAAGTTTTCTGCAGGAGCCTGCAAGGTGCAGAGCCCATGATGCCTGGAAGCCTGACAGACCCAGGGCACAAGGAGGAACCGACTGACCCAGCAGAGTGCACAGTTTGGAGACAAAAAGCAAAGTTGGAGACTTAGGTTTTCGGTTCTGTGGCAGTGGGGACAATGCAGGCTGAATCCCCAGAACCCTGGGGTCTGATGTGTCTCTGGTCTCTGTACTCAGGGTGGGATGAGGGGCTGCAGACACCTTTCTCCCTCCGAGGCTCTTGATCCTAAGCCTAAGGTCCCCAGAGTGTTGAAATGCACGAGATGCAGGTGTAAACCCACTCTTGCGTCTGACTCCTGGGGACGGGAGCTTCCAGTGGGGCCTGGGACTGCATGCCAATTCCCCGAACTCAGGGCCACGTCAGGTACATGGTGGGTATCACCAGAGGAATGGTGAATGAACAAATACATGAGCAAAAGGAAGAATAATGAATGATGCTCATCACACCCTCGGGAGAGGTGGTGCCTGCAATGCTGGACAGAGGTGCCTGGACAGGAATGCTGGCAGAGTCAGTGTTTGAAGCTGATGATGTTGAACCTCCCTGCCCAGATGCCGGCTTGGTGACCTCAGGCAAACTGAAAGAGAGTCTGGAAGAGTTTAACTAACGGATGAATATCTCCACTATGAGGTGTGGCAAGCACCACTCAGAGGGTGTCTTTCAATGCAGGGGAGGATGTGACCAGCCATTCTCTACAGCCTCTTTGGGTGAATATGTGCCAGGGCAAGGGCTGCTGTATGTGCTAAGGTAAACTCTGCACTCAATATCTACAACAATACAGCAATACAGAATATCCACACCAAGGTAACAATAGAGAATATCCACACAGCAATACAGAAAATCCACAGCAATATATAGAATATCCACAGCAATATATAGAATATCCACAGCAATACAGACTATCCACAGCAATACAATACAGAATATCCACAGCAATACAGACTATCCACAGCAATATAATACAGAATATCCACAGCAATACAATACAGAGTATCCACAGCAATACAACAATACAGAATATCCACAGCAATACAGACTATCCACAGCAATACAATACAGAATCCACAGCAATACAGACTATCCACAGCAATACAGAATCCACAGCAATACAATACAGAATATCCACAGCAATACAATACAGAATATCCACAGCAATACAGAATATCCACACCAAGGTAACAATAGACAATATCCACAGCAATACAGAAAATCCACAGCAATACAATACAGAATATCCACAGCAATACAATACAGAATATCCACAGCAATACAGAATATCCACACCAAGGTAACAATAGACAATATCCACAGCAATACAATACAGAATATCCACAGCAATACAATACAGAATATCCACAGCAATACAGAATATCCACAGCAATACAATACAGAATATCCACAGCAATACAGAATATCCACAGCAATACAACAATACAGAATATCCACAGCAATACAATACAGAATATCCACAGCAATACAGAATATCCACCGCAATACAACAATACAGAATATCCACAGCAATACAGGAACAAACCTAACTCCACTCATCCCCATCTGAGTCTTCATCTTATTACCATGACAACTTACTCCATAATTTTGTTGCCAAACACATGATTAAAAAAGAACAGGACAGGGACTTTACCTAGTAAAATTGAAAATAAATCCTCAAAAGTACAAAGTAAATAGTAATCTAGTATCCAAAAGAATTAAAATTGTAACTTAAAAAGTTAATTTAGTGGTGAATAGATTTTTAAATTCCTAATATTGTTAAAGCCTTTACAAATTAATATTGAAGATACAAGTTCTCAAAAAATACAAAATCAAAAGTTAACAGAAAACAATACTAGCTTGCTCAAATTACATTTTCTGGGCTTTGGAATATATCCATGCTTTATTTTACTTACAAAGGATTTTTTGAAGTCTTGCTCTTTGTAAAACAATAGAACCATCCAGAACTGAAGAATAGAAATTGCTCCTTCACTCTCTCCACATCACACAGCTAGTGATTTGCTTTCTCTTCCCCCACAGCAACCACTCTTAACAGCAAGCATATTTCCATATGAATAGATAGTCTATATATATAGAAAAAAGATGTCATATATATCTTATTTTATAAAAATAAAATCACTTTACAGTCATAGTAATGCATAAGAGTGCATTCAGCTATATCTCATTCCTTTTAATGTCTGTGTGGTACAACATAGTGTAGATATACTTAAATTTTTAACCATTCTCTTATTGACCAATATGCACGTTGTTTTCAATGTACCATTAATACAAAGAAGGTTGCAAAAAATGTTTTGCACATATGCCTTTAGGGCACATGGCGTGATGGATAACAAAAGTAAAAGTGCTGTTCACATGATATGCACACTCGATATTTGAAAGGCATTACTGCATTGTTCTTTAAATAGTCTATGAAATGCTATTCACAAATGAAAGTCCCCATTTCTTCACTGCTTTGTCTTCGTATTTATCAGTTTATTTTTTACCAAGGTGATTGATATCTATATATGTATGTATATATAATATATACATACTACATATATTATTGATTTTTATAATTTGCATCCCTGATTACTGTGAGATAAGGCATTGTTTTATAAATATATTAACATTTTGTTGATGTGCTTGTTTTTACTCTGCACACTTTTCTATATGGTCATTTATCTACTTTGTGGAATGTAAGGGGTTACTCATTCATTATGGACCTTCAACTTTCCCCGTCATATGTGCTGTGGGTATCCATTATATCAAACCCATTCTTGTAGTTATATCTTTGTGGGTTTTTTCAAATTATATCTTTGAATTCTAAAAGTTGAGTGTTATACATTCAAATTGGATTATCAATTTCTCCTAGTATGCCATGCCATGTACTTTTTGTTTCGAGTATTCAGAAACTCTATTGGTAGCGATAGAATGAATTATCTGTGTTCTTCGTGGACTGTAATTTTCACCTCCATTTGTCCCATTTAATATTTTTCAACTGGAGTTTTGATTTTATAACTGCCAGGTTATCTTTTTATTAACCTATTCCTGATAGATTTTTTTTTTTACCATGCATTTACTTTTTATAAAGGAGAGTTATTGAAAGTATAGTCTCTGGAGTCAAACTCATGGGTCAGTAATTGTGCTTAGCTCATAATGTCATTTTGAGGATTAAATGAAGTGATCCATATAAAAAGATTAGTCAAGTGCTTCTAACATACTCAGCATATATTGTGTCATTGTATTTTTGGTATGTGTCCTTGTAAATGGCTTTTAGCTGTGTTTTTATTTTGTCCAAAACTGGCAATAAACCTATCCCATTCAAATTCATTGTAAAAAAAAATAACATTTAGCCTTTTCTAGTCTTCCATTTGACTCACATTTAGGGAAAAACCATTTAAACACACTTTTTAATTAACATCAGTAATTAAACTGTGTGTGAAGCCTCTCTAACTTGAACAAGACAAATCCATCACATGTTCATATTCATTAATTTCTTATTTCTCATATATTTTAAAAAATCACTTAGAGCATTTCCCTGTGATTTCTTCTAGTAATAAATGTCTATCAATGGATGAATGGATAAAGAAAAGGTGGTATATATACACAGTAAAATGTTATTTATCCCTGAAATAAGAATGAGACCCTGTCATTCACAGCAACATGAATGAAACTGGGGGAGAGTATGTTAAGTGAAATAAGCCAGGCACAGAAAGACACATACTGCATGATCTCTCTATTTATGGAAACTAAAACATATCATCTCATACAAGCAGAGAGTAGAAAAATAGTTTCCAGAGGCTGGGGAGTAGGGGGTGGGGAAGGTAGGGAGAGATTGGTCAATGGGTACAAAGTTACAGTTACATAGGAAGAATTAAGCTCTGGTATTCTATTACACAGTAGTAGGGTGACTGGTTAACAATAATTTATCACATATATCAAAATATCTAGAAGAGAGGATTTTGAATGCTCCCAATGCAAAGAAATGATAAATGTATGAGGTAATGGATATCTCAATTACCCTGATTTGATCACTGTACATTGTATGCATATAATGCTTTGAAATATCACATGGACACCAAAAATATGTAAAATTATGTGTCAAATTTAAAATCACCTAGAATTTTAATTATAAATTATTTTCACAGTATACTTCTGCATTCTTGGGAATTGTTTCTTATCAACTGGGGTTTACATTGTTTACATTGTGGCTACATTATCCACAGTTTTGTAAATTGTGAAGGTGTAAATACTTTTTGAAATTTACCACCCATTTTGAATACTGTGTTCAATTCTAAATTCTGTTATTTTCCTCTCTGTGCTATTATTGGCCTTAGTTTGCTCTTCTTTTTCTAACTTTTTAAGGTTAAAACTCGAATTATTATTCTGAAACCTTTCCTTTCTAATATAAGCATTTAAAGTGATAGTACTCTTCTAAGACTTGTTTAACTGCATTTCACAAATTTATATGTTTGTCTATACTGGGGGTGGCAATTTTTTCTGTCAAGAACCGAATATTAAATATTCTAGGTTTTTTAGGCCAGGAGTCAACATTTTTAAAATTCTATAAGTACTAACAAGAGAAAAAAATTTCACGAACATTTATTGATCTAAAATAATATAAGAATCATTCAGCTAATTATTTTGTAGGTTCACTGATGAAAAGGATGAAATTCTGATTTGGGGAATAATCTTTCTCTTTGGGGGATTCTAAGTGACATGTCATTATAAATGAAAATAAGAGCTTGACATTAGTTTGTTGTGTTGTGAGAAGGTGAGAGAAGTTGATTTGAAATTGTAAGGATTGTGGCTAGGATTCAGGATGGGAAATGGAGAGAAGGAAGTAAGTGCACAGACACCATACAGTCCAGATGCTTCTCCCATGCAGTCACTCATTCATTCAACAAACGTCTATTGAGAGCCAACCATGTTCCCAGCACTCTTCTAGGAACCTAGGATATGCCAGTGAAAAACAGCAAAGATACCTGCCCTCATGGGACTCACATTTTGCAAGATGATGGAAGGAAATGTATGGGTCAAGGTACAATAGTCACTCGGTTTCATGCTTTTGCATACGGCTAGGGAGCTATCCCAGCACCATTCGTTGAATAGGGAGCCCTTTCCTCATTGCTTATTTCTGTCGACTTTGTCAAATATCAGATGGCTCATTTCTGGGTTTTCTATCCTGTTCCAATGGTCTATATGTTTATTTTTGTACCGGTATCATACGGTTTTGGTTACTTATAATATAGTTTGAAGTAAAGTAACATGAGGCCTCCAGCTTTGTTATTGGTGCTTTCAATTGCTTTCTCTTTTCAGGCTCTTTTTCAGTTCCGTGTGAATTTTATAATTTTTTTTCTAATTCTGTAAAAAATGATGTTGGTAGTTTGGTAGGAATAGTGTTGAATCTGTAGATTGCTTTGGGCAGTATGGCCATTTTAACGATATTGATTCTTCCTGTTCATGAGTATCAAGGTTTTTCCATTTGTTTGTGTCATCTCTGATTTCTTTGAGCAGTGGTTTGTAGTTCTTGTAGAGTTCTTTTACCTCCTTGGTTAGCTATATTCCTAGGTATTTTATTTTCTTCGTGGCTGTTGTAAATGGGATTGTGTTCTTGTTTTGGCTCTCAACTTGAATATTATTGGTGTATAGAAATGCTACTGATTTTTGTACATCGATTTTATATTCTGAGACTTTACTAAAGTTGTTTACCAGTTCCAAGAGAAGCCTTTTGGCAGAGTCTTTAGGGTTTTCTAGGTACAGAATCATATTGTCAGTGAAGGGAAATAGTGTATATTATATTGAATTAAACTAGATCACTTGTAATAGTCTCAGATTTAGAAATACAGAAAAAATTTTGTAAATAAGTGAAAGTTAGAAATATGCATATAAATTGTAGCTACAATTACTGTAGGAGATAACTAAAATAATTCATAGCAATTCATCCTTAAGCATATTTTACATGAACTTAGACAGACATTTTGGGAAAACTTATCATGGGATCTTTGAGGTATTTTTATAAAATTAAAAAGTAATTTATGCATTATCTTAATTTGTTGTTAGAGTATAAATGGCTATAGAAGATAAATATAATGGTTTCGACTGAGTCTTTGAGTTGCCTCTTTATTTAGAAAACAAAATTCAAACTTTCAAAATTTGTTTGTTTTCATTAACCAACAATCAAAATAACTTATTGCCACGCTAAAATAATAAGAAATAGGAAATTAAATTAATATGATACTTTACCTGATACTGAGATTGAGATTAAAGGACAATAATTTATTCACCCTATGAAGAAAGTGAATATAGAAAGATCAATGTGAAAATCCCTGCAATTCTTAAATTAATATCACAAATATTATAAAATAAGATATAAGGTGGGATTATCATTCTGCTACATACAGTATTCTTTGGGAAATACGCCACAAAAATTAATTCACAATTCTAAACTGAACAAACATACTGGCTTTCATAAATTTATAAGTATTTTTTATCATAAGGCTTTTTCCACATTCAGCCATATTTTTATTTTGTTGAATGCAATGTTCTTCATAACAATTATGTAAAAGAAGTATATCATAAAATAGAAACAGTTATAATAACAGCATAACTACTTTCGTTCTGGCTGGGTATGGTGGTTCACGCCTATAATCCCAGCATTTTGGGAGGCCAAGGCGGGCAGATCACAAAGTCAGAAAATCGAGACCATTCTGGCCAACATGGTGAAACCCCATTTCTACCAAAAAACACACAAATTAGCCGGGCATGGTGGTGCACACCCTGTCATCCCAGCTACTCGGGAGGCTGAGGCAGGAGAAGTGCTTGAACCTGGGAGGTGGAGGTTGCAGTGAGCCGAGATCGCACCACTGCACTCCAGCCTGGCGACAGAGCAAGACTCCATCTCAAAAAAAACCAAAACAACAACAGTAACAAAAACTAGCCTTCTACAGGAAACCATATATTATTACACAAAATGATCTGTTTAGGCTCATGATAGGAATGTCTTCAGAGATTATCGTTTGAAACAGAGCAAGTAATCTGCAATATTCCGCACCAAGTAAGATACATGCACACCCCAAAAATAAATCACCTGGGGCTTACTGGAAAGATCATTTTGGCTTTAAACAATTTCCTTTCTATTTAGCAACATTTAAAATTAAACCCAATGTAATTATAGTTAAAATGCACTTTTACTTAAAAGTTAATATTATTTTTGAATTTTTTCATTCTTTTTAATTGCGTAGTATTATGCTTTCTTTAAAACACTGATATGGTTTGACTCTGTGTCCCCATCTGAATCTCATATTTAATTGTAATCCTGAATTGTGGCTGTTGTAAATGGGATTGTGTTCTTGTTTTGGCTCTCAACTTGAATGTTATTGGCGTATAGAAATGCTACTAATTTTTGTAATCCCCATGTGTTGATGGCAGGACCTGGTGGGAGGTGATTGGATCATGGGAGCAGTTTCCCCCATGCTGTTCTTGTAATAGTGAGTGAGTTTTCATAAGGGGTTTTATAAGGGGATCCTCGCTCTTCCCTCGTAAGCGGTCTCTCACCTGCCGCCATATAAGAAGTCTTTGCTTCTCTCTCACTTTCCCCCATGATAGTAAGTTTCCTGGGACCTTCCCAGCCATATGGAATGGTGAGTCCATTAAACCTCTTTCCTTTATCAACTACCCAGTCTTGGGAAGTTCTTTATAGCAGTGTAAAAATGGACTAATACAAACATAAAACAAAATAAAATTTTTTGAAAGATAAAAACATATGCTGTCAATTCAGTTTCTTATACAGAATTGATAGGATGGCTGAAGCCTGGAAACCTTTCTCAGACTTCTGAAACTTTCTCAGGTAACAGCCCTTCTTGTAACTGTTCATCTGGTCCATAATCAGCAAATTTCTTTTTTGGGTTCCTAAGATGAGCCTGTGCCAGATACTGGGTCAACAAGACATAGCAAGACCTGTAGTGTCCATAGATGTTCACAAAACTCTAGGTGAATTACAGGATATCATCCAAATTAAGAAAATAAATACGGCCCCATGTGATGTAAAGCCTGCATGCTGGGCTGGGTGGAAGAATGAGGGGAAAGATGTTTGGAGGAGCCACAACCTCTTTCCAGTGTCTATTCTGGGCGAGGCCTTCAGCAGAAATGAAAGCAGGAGGTAGAAAGTTTACAATAGAAGATTTGGAATTAAAAGAGATTTTAGACTTTGTGATCTTTTGAGCCTTTGTAGGCTCATTTTCTCAACATTTTATACATATTAATCTTTGAATATTCATAAATGTTAATAAATATTTGTGCCATATTTATTACAGCTTTAATAAATATTGTTTTTCTGCTTGGTTCTTCCTTTCTTTTTTTTTTTCCTTTTTCCTTTTGAACTCACCTCCTCTCACCTCCATTCACAGTCTGTCATCTCCAGTTTTGGATAAATTAATGAGGTGTGGCCAGTCAATCTTCTACTTTCTGTGTCCATTTACAGAGAGCTGAATCATAGCCAGACCTCCCAGGAAACCCATACCAAGCGCTGGCCTAATTCCCTGTGGAACCTAAGGGAACCAAAGCCTTGAACCCAATCTTACCCCGAAGTCAACCCCTACGTGACACCAGAACAACTTCATGACGTAGGAGTAGTACATACTCAATTAAAAAAAAAGGCAGCCCAAAAGAATACTGTGTCACTTCCAGTGCCAACACAGTCAACTATCACGGTAGCCTGTGGCCATTCAGGGAATATCACCGTTCTAATGAAAAGACTTTCTGGTTAACTGAAAATCAGGCTTCATGGGGGAATGCAGGTCCAGCAAGACTGAAGCTATTAACCCTCAAATTATAAGGTTAAAATTAATAAATGTTTTCACTGGTCAGTGCTGTTTAATTTTTGCCAAAGGACAATGAGTAGGGGAGGCATCAGGAGCTACAACTTCAATTTCAATGGCGAGAATAACATTGAAATTAGGAGAGGGTGGTTTTCAAGGAGTTCTGTTCTCATAACTTACCTCTTCATGAAGAGACTCAGGGGCTGAACAAGGAAAAAGCATTCACATGTGATCCACATGGCCCCCTGGGACTCTGGCAGATGTGGAGCAAGTCATTTTACTAATAGCTGGGAACAAGTCCAGAGCCTCAGGAAGAAGTGACAAAAGTGACAAAACCCTCATACCCTGAGATGTAAATCTGGCTACTTTCCTTTTTTTTGAGTCAGAGTCTCACTCTGTCGCCCAGGCTGGAGTGCAGAGACTGGATCTCTGCTCACTGCAAGCTCCGCCTCCCAGTTCATGCCATTCTCCTGCCTCAGCCTCCCAAGTAGCTGGGACTATAGGCGCCCACCACTGAGCCCAGCTAATTTTTTGTATTTTCAGTAGAGACGGGGTTTCACCGTGTTAGCCAGGAAATACTTACTCTTATATTGGTTACATGTTGAAATGATAATGTCTTGGATATATTGAGCTAAATAAAATATATTATTAAAATTAATAGAGCCTATATCCTTTTAATTCTTTTAATGTGACAACCAAATACTTAAAGTGTGGCTCACATTATATTTTATTGATTCACATATATCTAAACTAACATCCTCATTTCACAGAATAGGAAACAAGGAAAGAAACAATGTTTTGGGTCCGAACTTAGCAGTGTTCCAACTGAAATCGACAATGTCCAGTGCCCAGTTGCTGCACTTCCTCCTACAATCATGACCCATGACATCACTGTACGAATAACTTTCTCCAGAATCCAAGTGGAGAAATTATGTGAAAACTGACCAGAAAAGGTCAGCAGAATAGACCAGACTTATTGTGTGTTTTCTTACTCGATATTCTTAGTACCTTTTCTCTCCTAAAACTCTTTTTTTTTTAATTTCTAGTTTTCTATATACATTGTAAGGCAAAAAGAAATAGTCATTATCCACTATGCCACATTTTCAAAAGACACTGAATTTTCTATAAATGTCTTCTGAATCTCAGCTTTAATAAAAAGAGACTCTTTCACCCTTTTATTGTCAGAGTTGCTACTCTCTGCTGCACATCAACTTGCAACAAGTCTATAAATGAATAGCACAAAAATGAGGTTCCTGGTATTGTCTGTTAGGTTCAACAGTCCCTGAACTCTTCAGAAAATAAAGAAATTTAAAAATCCCCCTCTAACACCAGAATGCACACAAAGACAATATCCCTTCAGGAAAGTATTTTTGATTGAATGGCCTTGTTCTTAGCCTAGTTACACACCAAAAATAGTCTAAATAGCATGTGCAAATGGTCTAAACAGCATGTGGGATGAGAGAAGTACCACAAATGACCCTCAACGATCCAGAAAGACCTGAGCTCTTTACGTCAGAGGCTTCTCTGCTTCTAAGGAGATAACACGGACACCTAGAGATAGAGGGTGGGAATCACTTGGACTTCTGAAAATATGCCTGTGATGAATCAAAGGCCAAGGACCTTTGGAGAAACTGACCTTGCTTCAATTCTTGTATGAACAACTAATTGTTCACGTTCTTGTCTTGCCTGGATTCTCTTTCTAGTGTCCTTAATGGAGTGGTTATTTCATGTCAGTTGGAAAACAAAAACAAAAACTCCTGGTCACATAAGATAGTTCATTCTGTTTTCACAAAAGCTCTAAAAATTAGAAAGTTTTTTTTTAAATTAGAAAGTTCTGCAAATTTATTACTCCATTCCAGATGTAAAATCCTGTTAATTCTCTCAAAATCATATTTAACTTCAATTGTTTCATGATACTATATAGCATTAAGTTTTCCACTCGATTTTAAGTTCTGCTTATATTAACCAATTGGCAGATTAATTGAGCATTTACTGTAGAGATTTCACAGTAAATATGGAAGAAGCCTACACAATGGGATTAAATACAAATTCTGTGTACAAATAAAAAAACTCTTAACTAGAAAAAAGTGAATTTATACTATTCATTCTCATGTGTGTGCATATACACATATCCACACGTTTGAATGAGTAGCTTACTTTATAGGCTATATATTCTAAAGAGTGATATATTGAATGCTAAAACCCTCTTCTCAAACATCATCAATTGATTTCAAAGGAGGGACAGCCGTAGATAAGATCTCTTTAGACACCTCTGTATCAACACATGAGTGTCTTCCTGTTCTATGTTGCTCTTTACTGCTTCCAAATCAAGCCCCTCCCTCCATCCTGGGCCTCCTTAACTTTGAATATCAGATATCAGAATACACTGCAGGATACCCATTCTGTTATTGCCTTCTACCAACCCCCGGGTGCTAGCCCTTTACTATTTGACAATTAACTCTTGGCTCAAAACAACTCATAATTTCTCTCCCCAACACCACCCCTGCCATCACTCTTCAATATCTAGAAAGATGAACTTTTCCATATAAACTGATATTTCAGTCAATTCTTTGTTCTCTTCTCCAACCATCTTCTGCTCCACACTAACTCAACACTCACTTGGATGGTCAAAATCTTGATCTTTTTACCAACTGCTGCAATACCTTCCTAATCACAACTTTGGGAAGGCTATCTCTAACATCTACCCTCCCAGATTTCTACCATATTCCCTCTCTAGCCCCACTCCAGAAATCCTTTTCCTTACAAGGACCTCAAGTCTAGTTCTCCTCCCATCTCTTCACTGTCTAACAACCGCTGTCTCATGCCCTCTGATCCTCTGTTATTCATCTTAAAATCTGGGATTTTTCACTTTAATCAAGGTTTTCATCCACCTTCCAGGTATCTCTATACATGCTTCCTCAAAAGAAAAACAGCAACCACAACAGGAACTGAAAAACACAACTCTGCTCCAGTGTGGCTGAATGTGGCTGGGCAAAAACAAACAAAACAAGCTGACTGTTCTCATTTTGAAGTCATAACTTCTAATATCCAGTGACTTGTCATGCTGCCTGGTAATCCTTGTACATTTCTTTCTTCCATTTGCCTACTTACACCCTTCTCTCTTTTCTTGAATCGCTCTTCCTCCCTGTATCCTGGCTCTCAGTGGAAGACCTGCTTTCCTTTCACTGAGAAAAGAAAAGCAATCTGAAGAGGTCTTCCACAAAGCTTCATCTTCCCACCCATGTGCAACTGCGCCCCATATGCTGGCTTCTCTGCCTTCTCTCCTGGAACCACAGATGGACTGTCCCAAGGCAAATCCTCTTGCAAGTAAGCTGCAGCCCATTTCCTCTTTCCTAACCATGGACATTGTTCCAGCACTTCCCTCCTTTCTCTCCTGCTTCATCAATGTTCCTCTATATATGGATCACCTCCATTAGAATATCAACAATCTCTGATTTCATGCATATTTAAAAATACATAACTGTCTCCTGGCTCCACATTCCTCCCTAGGTACCAGATCATTCCTCTGCCTCCAACCTTCCTGATCCCACCAAAGTCAAGTTTTTGATGCCACCTGTTCTTCATCAAACCTGCTCTTTCCAAGATCACCATTGGGCTCCCTGTTGCTAAATTCAGTAGTATAACATGAAACTTACTTTTATTTAATTATACTTTATTTAATTATTATTCATTCTTTCCCCAAAATGCATTTTCCCTTGTCTTCCAGGATACCCATCAACCTGCATTTCTTTTGTTATATCTTAATGGAAAAACTCTTCATTTCCAGTTCCTTCTCATCTCAGCCTCTAATTCTTCAAATCCCTGAGGGCTGCCCTGGAGCCTCTTACTTTTCTTTCTACACTCACACATTGGGGATCTCATTCGCACCCAAGCCTTTAACTACTATCTACAATCTGATGACCAAGAAATGTATCTCAAGCCTGGGTCTCTCCATGGAACACCCAATTGTAAATCTCACTATCTTCTGAGTATCTGTACTGATAGGTATAACAGGCATCTGAAAAACATAACATGTTCAAAGCAGAAACCCTGATCCCCCTAACATACACACACACACACACACACACACACACACACAAATAATTACTCCAGAATTCTCTCCTATTTCAGTAAAAGACAAGCCTATTTTTAATCAGTTGAACCAAAAACCCTGGAGTAATCCTTGTCTGCTCTCTCTCACACTTACTTGCAACCCTTCAGCAAATGCTTTTGGTCCTAGATGGTGAATAAATCCAACAAATCCACCCCCAGCACCTTCTCCAAGCCCCTACTCTTGCTTTCTTGTGGATCATGGCAGTAGTATAGGAACTGGTCTTCTGCTACATTTGTTCCTTGAGTGCTGCTCTTGACACAGCAGCTGACGTCATCCTCCTTACGAGTAAGTCAGATCATCACACACTTCTTCCCAATACCTTCCAAGTCTTCACATCTTGCTTAAAGTCAAAAACAAAGTCACCGTAATGGCCTTCATGGCTTTCTGTTTCTGTTAGGTACCATCCTCCTGCCCTGGGCTTGCGTTTCCCCAGGCGCACTAACCTCCTTGCTCTTGTTGGAAACAGCAAGCACTCTCCTCCCTTACAGGTTTCATACTTGCCCTGTCTACTGCCAGGACACAACTATGTCTGTATGATTTGATGCATGAAGGTGCTCAGTGGCCACTCTTTGAGTGAGGTCTTCTCCACACAATATGAAAGAGTGACTCCTGCTTTTATCATACTCTGTCACGCTTATGTCACGTTCTTTCTATTACATTTACCAGGAAATATGTAATATATATGATTATGTATTTTAATATATTATATATGCATTATATATGTATAATATATACATATATCATATATGGTACATATGTCAAATATATAGGTTACATATATAACATGATACATATAGATAATATTATTTTTTATGTTTAGTATCTTCTAATTAGAATTTTTTTTTTCTCCACTAAAATTTATTCCCCACAATAGATTTCAGTCAGTTTGGTTTATTGCTAAATCCCCAGCACTCAATAGTTTCTGGCATGTGTAAAGCATTTAGTAAATATTTGCTTAATTAATCAGTCAATCCAAACCAAATTCTTATCCAGTTTATGCTTAAACCTAGTGAACAGATAATAACTACCTTTTTAGATAATGTATTCCATCCCTAGAGAATTCTGCTGGGAACTTGCCGCATGAAATCCAGCATGTTGACTTCTGATGAGCGTTCATATATCTGTCTAATACAGTCACTCTGAACAAGTCTAACGTCTCTTCCTCCAGATTTTTCATAACAACTATCTTCATTAAGGTTGTGCAAGGAATTCTGAAGAGAAGACACGCAAAAACAAGCAAATTTTTAAGCAATGTAATGCATATGATATGACATAGCTCCTGCGGTTATATTGAGAACCCTCTTCTTGCTCTATAGCCATTGTCTGGGGTTGATCAGGAGGTGACACTAATGTTCTCAAAATTCTTTTTAAGTTAGCTTATAGTCAATTCTCTTGGCTCACTGGAGGTTTCTGCTGAATATTGTCTGAAACAGTCTTTCTGGCCAATTAAAATGCAACAGTGGTAAATGTGAAGCCTGTGTCTGAAAATGGAGCTTCCATAAAATATGTCAGTGACAGTGGTATTAAAAGAAAAGGCAATAGTAACAAATAATTGCAAAGAATTTTCAAAGTTTGGGACTCCAATAAAAATTTACAAAGCCATGTAAAGCCATGGGGTAGTAATTAAAAGTCTAGTTTCAGGAGCTAGTTCTCAGTATTTAAATTCTGACTGTGTCCCTCAATGAGCTTGTTAGATTTCAGAATTATTATTTAACAGTGAGTTATGTGTGCTTACCATTTTATCCATTTTTGAATGAGGGTCCATAGCAGTTACTCTATACTTTCTCTACCATCGTATGTCAGGTGAGTGGTGGGGGAGGGAAGAGAGGATAAAGTCTCAAGGTCTGCAGACGGAGAAGTGCTATACTCAAGGACTTTACCCAGGGGACACCTGGAGAGCCTCATCCACACCTGAACTGGAGGCGGATGATGAGATTTAGGATTTTAAGCTGATACTATAAAGGGTTGAGACTTTGGGGAACTTCGAGGGTGATGAGTGTATTTTGCAGATAGAGGAACAACATTCCTGGGGGGGGCGGGGAGGCAAAGGGTGTGATGTGACAACCAGCTCCCAGATGGCCTCCAATAATTGCTACTTCCTAGGATTTATGTCCTGTGTATTTCCCTCACACATAGAATCAGGGCTACCCTGTGTGGAGAATTCTGTGAACAGGAAAGTACATAACTTTTGAGGCTACATCATAAAAGGCACTATAGCTTCTGCCTTGGGCTTTTTAATTGCTTAGTCTAGAAGCAATTAACATCCATGATATGAGGCCACTCAAATAGTTCTGTGGCAGGTCCTCAGTGGAGAGGAACTAAGGCTGCCTGTTAGCCATGTGAGGTGCTTCCAAGAAAGCAAATTCTCCAGCTTGGCAAAGCCTCCCATGACTATGACCTGGTTAAATGTTATACTACAATGATACAATAGCATTGCCCTATAGCAAGTAGGTACAGAATAACTGTCTGATGGTGGAGAGTTATTGAAATTTAAAAAAACCAGCTCAACACACATCTATTCAGCACCTATTTGTGGCAGGTGATATTATAGAATAGGACGTGTTCCTTGCTTTCAAGAGTCCATTGGCAGTGTCTGGGAGACAGACCTAGTCACAGGAGGTCATTAAATGTGCTTAAACAGAGGTTTTTAGAGAATATTATGGAGTAGATGTCTACGTCTAGTAGTTAGAAGGGCTCCCTGGGTAGGTTATGTTCACTTTAGGCCTTGAGGAACTAGCATGATGGTCTTCTGCATACAGACTAACCTAGGTTTTTGTCTACACAGCCTGGGAATAGGAGACTGACTTTACCCAAAAAAGCTGGCGCTTTAAGGCTTTGCAAGAAGATAGTGTTTGTGCTTAAGCAGGACATAGAAAAGGGGATAAAGAGTTTCTAGAAAGGAGGAACAGCAGAGAGCAAGCTCAGAGGCTGGAACATGCTCAGCATTTTGAGGAAAAGACCCTCCTGTGGATGGAGCATGAGGAATCAGAGTTGGAGAAGAGAATGGAGGGAGTCAATCGAGGTCAGGGTGAGTCCTGCAGCAATGGGGCCTGAAGCCACGTTTACAAAATGTGCGCATTTTCTGTATTTCTGAGGCATCACCTGAATATTTTTAAGTGGATATTTCAAGGTCAGATATGAGTTTAGAAAACATCAGTTTGACCTTGAGTGGAAGATACAATCAAGGAAAATGAGATTAAGGGGGTGATATGGTTTGGCTGCGTCCCCACCCAAATTTCATCTTGAATTGCAGCTCCCATAATTCCTATGTGTGGTGGGAAGAACCCAGTGGGAGGTAATTGAATCATGGGAGCCGGTCTTTCCCATGCTGTTCTCGTGACAGTGAATAAGTCTCATGAAATCTGATAGTTTTATAAAGGGCAGTTCCCCTGCAGACACTCTCTTGCCTGCTGCCATGTAAGATGTGCTTTTTGCTTCTCCTTCACCTTTTGCCATGATTGTGAGGCCTCCCCAGCCATGTGGAACTGTGAGTCCATTCAACCTCTTTTTCTTTATAAATTACCCAGTCTCAGACATTTCTTCATAGTGGCATGAAAATGGACTAATACAGAGGGAATGAGAGTCAATTCTACCCTAATACCTCTGACACTCCTTTAAGTGAGAAAGGATGGACGTCAGATACCAAAGCAATGAGGACAGAAACAAGAGGACAAGTCAGAGACATACACAAGGAAGCAATAAACCAAAGAGTACGCCGTGAAAGATGTAATGGGCCCTATTCTTCTAGAATAGTGAAGGGTTCACTATTTTTACTGTGTAATTACATAATAGCATATTTCCCTCCATTTTTCAGTAGACAGTAGACCAGTTACCTAGAAATCATAGAGCTACTGGTTTTTAGGCTGCCCAGGTTTAAAAAGAAACTTTCAAATGGACTAAAGGATTTAACCCATATTTAGGGCTGTTTAATGCCCAATGAGTGGCCTCACTATCTTGAAAAGGGATAATATATACCTATGTTTTTCTTCACTTATTTGTCCTGAATTTACATTTAAAAAAATAATCTGGGCTGGAGTGGATTTTATGTTTCAGTGTTTCTCATTCCTCTCACTCTTCAATGTGAATATTCTGAGTAATTTCTTTCTAGGGTATGTGTTCATCACTGGAGTCCACTGTGGGAGGCAGAGGTGGGCTTGAAGCCGAAGGCTGGTGTCAACCTTGTCCAATGCCCTAAGACGTGCACTCTGTCCAGCACCCACCAGCTCCTCTGTCCATCCTGCTTCCCTCCAGGACTGTCTCTTCCTGGATAAACCCATCTAGGAGAAAGAACTGCAGCTGCTTGATGACCCTGAGTGAAAGCCAGTGAAAAGTAAAACAAAGCACAAATATTTATTTTTTTAACTTTGAGGATGATATCATATTCTAAGTGTTCGTAGCAGAAACCACAGCACTGATCTCTCCAATATTATTAGCAAATAAGTGTCCAGAACAACAATGGGATAATATGGAACAGCTAAATGTCAAGGTCTTCCTCAGCATTCTCAAGGCAGGCTTTGAAAAAATAATCTGAGAGCACAAAGGGCCAAGATATACCTCTCATTTGCCCTCTTGGGAGGTGCTCCTATAAACAGATTTTTTAAAAACAGGTAATTTATAAATGCTCCTATAAACAGATGCATTAAACTTTGATTCAGAAAACCTGATATTAAGCTCTAACTATGTTAGTGGATTTCTGCAGAATCGAAAATAGTCACGTAAGCTGAAAAATTCAAAATTTTGTAAAGTAAATAGTATTTATTGTAGTGGCCACAACCCCAGGCATACAAGAAAGAAAATGTGCAACATTATATTTCTATACCTAAATGGTCTCAAGCCCAGCTCCTTCATCATGTCAGAGTGTGTAATATAGCATGCACCAGGGAAAACCAGTCCTTCCTTTTAAAAGGCCCTTTTTCAGAATCTGTGCCCTCCTTCTCCTCAGGGTAGAACTTACACCTCAAGCTTCACAAGGAACCTGTGTGTGGGGTTGGAGGTACAAGCTACATCCAAGAAGTTGCCTTGTGTCATTTCCAGCACATTCTCTTGACCACTCAGGCAATGCCACCCAGTGTGGGAGGGGACTGCCCAAGGGCAGGAGGCTCAGTTCACCAGGCCGTTTGGACAACTAGCTACCAGGAGGCTAGCATTCACAGAGTAAAGGGTGGTGGACAAGAAGAAAGCTACCACAGTGAGGATGTGTAAGGGGTGTGGGGATTTGAGTCCTAGTCCTTTTAACGAGAGGGAGGTTTGTGACACAGCAGACAGGAGCAGTGATGAGGGAGAACCTGGCTGACCCCCACCGAGGGGATGCCACATAGTAACTGAATGTCAGTGTAATTTAAAGAGGGAACTCATCTAGTTTCTGTAATACATGTTAATATTGGATTGAGGAGAAAGGGGGAAACACAGACACTGAGATTGCTATTTCTTCTAAAGAAAACACAATTATCGACTGTACCCCCGCAAACGGCTAAATGATGCAAGTATTTCTCTGGTACCATAGATTAAAATTAACAGTAGGGGGAAATAACAGGAACGATTGTGTTATCACAAGAAAAAGTGTGGCCAAGCTTATGCTCAGTCAATGAGAGCCTTAAAGAATCACAGCGATAAAAGAAGTTGTCAGCTTATTTATTTGGAAACCAGAAGTGTGACTTTGCCTTCATTACAGATAAGGAAGGCATCCACTGGGGACATGGTAACGGATGCTGCCCATTGCAAAATGTCACAATGAGTGGTCTGTTCTCCCTGTGACCTTGTTCTGTGGTCATAACTGGATACGGGGATCACTTTGGAATCCTCAAAACCCCCGAGGCCTTGTGTTAAACCCCACGAGTATTCAGAGTCTCACAACTACGAAGCTGAATGTCGAGAGAAAAAGACAGATACCAAAAAAATGGTCTCAAAGTACCTCCTTGTTTAACTTGGCCGCCAGACAAATCAGTTCATCTCCTGTAGAAGGAAGCCGCCAGCTGCCGGTGGATACAAAGCAGCTCTGTGATGGTTGAAACCAGAAAAGAAAAGCGCCCCCTCCTAGTGTCATCACAGGAAGGAAACCTCTGCGGGCAGCAGGAACAAGTGCAATCCCTGGAGAAGAGCCGAAGGTGCCCGAGGCCCCAAGAAGGGCAGGGTGCGAGGCTGGGTGTGTGACCTCAGCCATGGAAGGGCCACCTGCCACCGGGGGGCTCGGCTGTCGGGCCTGTGGCTGTGG